AGGGTTTAGGGTTGATTCTAGGGTTTAGGGTCTGGGGAAAAGGGTTTCCTAAGGGTTCGAATACTATTAATAAGAAAAATAATCATAAGATCATTAACTTGACTATAAATAGTAGTTTTTTCTGCTAATATATAAGTATTAACATCGTATGGGAAAAATGACAATAGTTTGCGGCACAATATTTACAATAGTATATAGCCATAGTAATGGTTATGCTGATGACAAGAATAGTAGCAGCAGTAACAGTAGTAAAAAAACGGGTTCCAGTTCACACCTTGTGGTAGAGTAGGTATTTTTTAATATTGCTGGGGCATTAGAGCCCCTATATAATCCAAAGGTGAACCTTTTTTACCCTAGGATACTGGACCGCTAAGTCACCAAGTACAGGTTCGAAGAATAGGGGCTCTAAAAGGGCACCATCAGGGTTTAGGGTGTGCAGGGTTTAGGGTGTACAGGGTATATAGGGTATACCATGTACGTACATAGTATCCCAAGGGGAGATCGAGTTTAGGGAACATGCTTCAGGGTTTCGGGTCTTGGGTTATTGGTTTAGGGTATGCGGGCTGCGGTTGATTAGAGTTTAGGGTTTGTGGACTCAGGGTTTAGGGGGTCATGCCTGAGGGTGCTGAGGTGGCTTTATGACATTATGTTGGTGATGCTTTAGGTTGTGAACTTAAGCCCTAAACTGGCCCTAAATGGCCCCCAACCATCTGAGACCCAAATGTTTGGGACCACGGAACTATCTTTGAATGGCTGCCGAAACTTGTCGATGACTCCTCTCCTTCCAATTTATGCTCCATGGGTCAATGGATCAGATGAGTCATACTCTATATTGTTAAATGGTCATAAACCTGATTGCTAGCTTGTACAGAATTTCGATATCGAACCCAACCCTTCAACCTGTCCACTTGGAAACATCGCCTTCCCACACGGAGTTGCCAAGACCCGAGGTGCCAATTCTCAAGTAAAACTGGCACGAGGATCACGGACCAGCCCTGTGATGGCTACATCTTGCACACCCCAAACTTCAAACGCGTCAGGAGCACGGCCCCAACTTCCGAAAGCTTCTGACACAAGCGAACGTTATCAACCATCCCCAGACCCGATACCTTTCATGGGCAACCCTTCTGCAACACATTCGGGAGAACCCGCAGCGCCAGCAGCTGCTGCAGCAGCAGCAGCAACAGCAGTCGCGACGAACGCAACACGCGAATGAGAGTATCTGAAAGGTTTCAATGACAATAATAGTCAGAGACGTGCAGCTGCGTGAAGCAAGGAAACGAACGCAATAGCAAAAATTGCAAAACAGTAGTGAGAAGCACTCCTCCTTCTCCTCCGCCGCGTGCTCCTCCTGCTGCCACTACTACTACTACTACTACTACTACTACTACTACTACTATTACTACTACCACAACTACTACTGCTGCTGCTACTACTACTATTACTACTAAACCTACTACTACTACTACTACTACTACTACTACTGCTTTGACCACTACTACCACTACTACTAGTACTAGTACTACTACTACTACTAGTACTACTACTACTACTACTACTTCTACTACTCCCGCCAGTGCAAGTGCTGCCGCCGCCGCTGCCGCTTCGACTACAACTACCACTACCACCGCCT